TCCAATAATGGTTTTTATACTATTCCAGGCAACCTAGCCAGTTTGTTTCTAGCTGGTTTCACAGGAAATGCATTTCTAACTCAGACTTGTTATTAATATTTGCAAGTAGTTGACCCACAGACATCCGACAGCATTCTATCATACAGCATTCTACCATTCAAATAATGTGTATTTCAATCAACCTTTGGATTCTGCCACGTAGACAGTTTTGGAACGCTGAATACAAGCACACGCACATTGTTTTTCTTTATTATCAAATTTCACATGCGAACTAAACAAAAAAGTGTTTGTTGGCAATGTATTACTTAGTAATTTTCTCTGGCTTAAGAACCAAAACTTGAAAATTGTATTACATCAGCCAGCTTCAATTTTCTTACTCACCTAAGTTGTTATCTATTTTCTGGTGGTAAGCTCGCAGGTGTTGGTTCTTCGGATAGGAATCCCTTTGCACTGAAGAAACTAAATCTGCTTTGCTGAAATCATTGTCTGTTAAGGGTATAAAATACAGACTATTATATAATAAAAAGCTAGCAAGAAGAGGCTTTAAAGTTTTAGAAGGGCTATTAAAAATTAGTCTGACCACAGCTGCCATGTAATCACATAACCTGTTAGCAGGAGTATCAAAAGCAGTCCAACACCACTATCCATAGGGCACTCAAGATGAACAGTTATTAAGCTACAATAAGTCACTCTTGGGCTGCCTTTTGTAGTTCTGGTAGGTAGTTGAGAGAAAAAAAGTGAAAAACCCCCCCTGAGCCAGCCACCCAAAGCAGGTAGGCTGGTAACTCTCACCAGTAGTTAGGGCTCCCCCAGGTCAAGCCACTAGAGAGTTATTTCTGCCCTCTATTGGACAGACTGGAGCAGAATGGAGATTAAGGTTACCAAACAGCTTTTCTTTACTTACAGAACTACAACTATAAAGATACCCTGCTGATTTTTTCACTCTTACAAAACTAAATAATTGAACCTCACTTCAAGAGGGAACAGTCACTTTGTCCATAAAAGTCATCACAGAAGTTACCACGTTGTGAAAGGGGGGAATAAGACTAAACCTTGCGCATTTCCTTGCATGAATCAAGTAAGATTTTAGTATGAAGGGTTATAGTCCACATTTGAAATCACAAGGAAAACCTATCTTAAAACTATGACAAATGATGGTTAAAAGCCTCTGAGCATATAAGTTAACATTTTGGCAAACAGAGGACAAGGCTGCCTGCACATTGTGTGGATTCTTGGCTACAGTCTCCTCTGAGCAAATATAGGCACCGGATGCTTTTAAAGTCTGTAGTGGATAAAGCATAACCCCCCCCCCCAGGAAGGGCTAAATAAAATATGTACCCAAGTAAAAATTTCGTATCTTCAGCACAGGTATAAGGAGTTTTAGGGCAAACAATTCCCTAGAACTCAAAGCCACAATGGCTGGGATACAAATCTCCAGATGTTAGGCAGCAACACAGGTCAGCAGTCTCTGCCTTCCCCACCGTGCAAGTTTGTGCCCCATGTTGATGTCAGTCATTCAGTGTAAAACAAAGTTAACAAACCTGAATTATCCAGCTTCCTTAAATTTGGATGACTTTCCTGGTATTTTGACTCTTGTTCTTTACTAGATATCATGGCTTCTTTTAACCTAGTAATAAAGAGAATAAAAAGGAAACATTCCTACAGACCACAGGCCTCATTCTGAATTTGTCAAGCAAGAACAGGTATCAAATTTATAGAAGAGCAGCAAATTTGTTAGACCTGATCCAAAAATGTGCCTTTATAACAAACTATTAGCATTTGTTTTCAGTGAAAGCAGAACCGATCTCTTTAGTGCTGAAAATAGCATAGGGAAATTTTGACATCAAAACCAAAACTGTATCTCCCATCATGGAGACAACCTATTCCTTTCCTCTAGTGGAGGATACAGTGGGAAGGGAACGGGGAAATCAACCCATGCAGCATTACCACGCTTTACATAAATTTCTCATCTGAAGAAATAAGTACTGTAAGACACAGTAATTTCACAGCAACTAATTCTTGTTCACAGCTTTTAACAGAAGCCAGAGAAATACATATAATATTTAATATGAAGCATGTCAATGCTAAAAATAGTGATTTCCTGATAAGACTGAAATAAGCATAACTCAGAAGACTGAATTGCTTGTGCAATTTTGTGTAATTGTTTGAATTAATTTCCCACAAAGTTATTCTTACTGCTACAAATATAAATAAAAGTATTTTTCTCAGAGTTAAAGGGAAAAGGGAGCTAGACACCATCTCACAAGTTTAGTGGGCAGAATCAACAGATCTTTTAAGTTCTGATTTTCTGGTGATATTTCAGAGACGCTGTGGGATATAAGTAACAAGTAAAACATTCATTTTACTTACCTACTGTTGGCATAATATTCAGGGGTTCCATTCTGCTCTGGCTTACTCTCTGGAGGTTTGGCTTTGAAGTAGTTTACCAAGCCCCCCCAAACACTCTTAATGCTATTTATGTGCCTTTGACTAGTCTTCAAGTCCTGGTCCATTTTATCTACCATCTGTTCTGTGCGCTTCAGTGCCTCTCCTTGACGTACAAGCTCCTAACAGATATTCACAGAAAAAGAGAAGCTAGTAAAGCCAAGATAAACTGAAGCATCAAACATATTTAACACATACTCTAAAGAAAAATAACAGTGTCTTCATCCATGTAGATTATTTCTAAAGGCATACGGCTTTTTCACTCACTCCTCTTCCTCCAGGGCATTTCAATCAAGACTTGCTAGTCAGGCATAGCATTAACCAGCTATAAAATCCTCATCACTGCGGAAGGCCAGGTTCCTGACACCTACTACAAACAGCATCCAGGAATCTTCTGTACTGGCCTTTTGTCAAGTTGACATTTGTATTTCTTCCTGATGGAACACGCATGGCACCACATGGGTGATGTAGTGAAAACACAAAGGTTTACTGCAGGGAAATGGGTAAGCAGAACTATTTCTAGTGTGAAAGACACCATTGGGAAGGGAGACCATTTTCATGTTACTGGGATGTTCCTGATAATTTAGAAACAGAACAATGAAAGGAAATTAATGCAAAGAGAATTTTTTCATACTGCAGGAATAATCTTTTAGCTAGCACTAACCATGCGGAATTTAGAAGTTTTAATATTCACAATTATGTTATTTTCTAATTCAGCAGCACAAACACTATTCCAAAACAATCCAAAGATTAATTCTGGCAGGAGAGCTGCCTGCAGCTAACACTAGTGCAAAACAAAGAACTTTTGTTCATATTCTCTCTAAACTTTGGGGAATTCTAGTTGAAAATTCTTTTTTCCCCTCTCAATAAAGCAGCAAACACATACAATTCAAGTTTTGCCACGAGCCCTGTGTTAAGTCTAAGTTCTTGATTCCTCATTTGTGCTTTTCCGGACAAGCAAATCACGAGACTGCAAGTCTGCAAAAGTGCCACCAAGAACCCTCTTCAGCATAAGCCTCTGCTGCAGTTGGTGGATGCTCTTGGGTCAGTTTAGGCAACCACATCACTAACACTCAGGGAAACATCCCATTAGCAGGTGACACAATGGACAAGACCTCCATGAGTGATGTCTCCGAGCATAAACTCTATTCTGAACCTAGGCCAGAAGAATGAAGGAAGTGATTAATCGGGATGAAGTGAACACATCACAAACAACTTCCAGGGCAGGCTTTTCATTTAGTCAACAAAACTGCTGAAAACTTTTTAGTCAGATTAAAATAGGCATAAATGTAATTAATAAGACTTCGCAAGAATTGTTCAAAGCAGCTGAAAACACAGCCGAGTCCTAGTCTCAGTATTACAGAGGCAGAGAGAATCTAACTGGGGACTTTTTCCTCAAAACCCAAAACGCCTCCACGCAGAAGATCAACCTGCAGTAACACGGACGGATGCGCTGTCTCCGAAACACTAAAAAAAAGAGACGTTTCCAGAGGCCTTCGAGGGAAAAAGGGAAACCAAGACACACACACACGCAGCAGGAGGCTTAAGCCAGACGCGCCCCGCAGGAGTAGATGTACCCCGGGTACATCGCAACCGCCCGGGGGGAGAAGGCTCTGTTCTCGGTTCGTCCCCCTCCCCGGCGCTGCGCTGCCCCGCGGGGCCCCGACCCACCTCGGAGGCGGCCA